CAGAACTGAACAGAGGCACAGAACACACAGAATGCACATGGCTCTGTCCCCTAATATTTTGCTTAGAGATGGGCAAGCTGGCAAAACTCAGCCTGTTGACACTTGCTGAATTTTTGGCCACTTGCTGCCTGGAGAGACAAAAGCAGGCTGAGATGGTTTGTTTATTTTTCTGAAGACTATATTTATGTACTGTTTTTAAAAGTCAGGGACATTCATGTAAATTCTGGCCAGAAGGTGCACAAATTTTATACATCCCAGCCACAGTGCATGCAACTGGCACAAATTCCAGCCATGGTTTCTGCAAATCGTGGCTGGAATTTAGGCCAACTGCATACATTGTGGCAGGAATTTATGTCTATTTCCCTGGCTTAAAACAAAACAAAACAAAACAAAACCCTTGCATACTGGCTTACTTGAAAAACAGAAGACCTCACAGTGGCTGGACTGGTGTCCGCGTAGGGTGATAGGCTGGAATCCAGGGACCCAAGCCAGATTTGAACCCCTTCACAGATTCCTCACTGGCTGCCACTTCGTCACTGACTCACCTGGCAGCTGTTTGCAGAATTGTGTCTGTGTGTTGCTTTAAAGCAAGCACAGCCCCACTCTGCCTGCCAGTCTGTCTGCTCTCTCCATCAAGTGCCCTTCCCAACGGCACTACCGCCTCCTAACCTCACACAGGCCACTAGGTTTAACGCCCCGCATGGCTTAAGAGGCCCTGGATAAAGTGTCCCCTTTTGGAACTCACTTCTCTGTCCGCTCTGCTAGTTCTCCCGAAGCCGAGGCTTCCTTGGAGGCCTGGGGGAAACTGGGAAACCATATCCTGGTACCAGACTGGGAAGGCAGCTTCCCTTCCCTGCAGATCTCATAGCAGAAGCAAAGCTCCTTTTTCCATCACTCAGAAAAAGGATCCCACGGACCACAACTAATTAGTGCCTTCTCTCCCTTCTGGGCGAGGAACCTGCAATTTCTTCTGTGGCGTAACAGCAAATCAATGGAAGGGGGGTGGGGGTGACGGGAACACTAGTGGGAATCCAGAGACGGCTGGAGATAATAGTGCAGCCCACAGGCGACGCAAGGCGCCCAGTTGCCGTGGTCCCTCCAGTGCCTGAGTCATCCCGGGAGAGGGCGGCTGCGCCAGGCAGATGTTTGCTGAGTCATCTGCCTCATGCTGGCCAATGCGGAGGGACTGCGGTGGCTCCAGAGGTCAGGCGAGGCACCCGTCCTGGGCCAGGTAGGGCGAGCCTAGGCCCCCTGGGCTTCTCCAGAGGACCACCCCTTTCCCCAAGCACCAATCGTGCTGCCAGCTTTAACAGTGGGAAATGTGCTTCCTACAAATTAGCAGCCAGTATGGTGTAGTGGTTAAGAGCATGGGACTGGGGCTCAGGCGATCTGGGTTCTAGTCCCCGCTCGGCCATGGAGCCAACTGGGTGACTTTGGGCCAGTCACAAACTCTCAGCCCAACCTACCTCACAGGGCTGTTGTTGTGGGGATAAGATGGAGGAGGAGAATGATGTAAGCTGCCTTGAGCCCTTTGAGGAAAAAGGCAGGATATAAATCCAAAAATAAATAATAAAATAAAATGTAAAGCTTTTATAGACCATCCCATTGCTAGCATCTCGGGCAGCTTACCAACAGTAAGAGCTTTCAGCTAATACTCTTTGCCCCTGCCCACTTTCCCATTTGGCCCATCCACCACTAAAATGAGGATCTCAAGAGCTTCTCTGAAGTAGAATTGGGCCCTCAAACTGGAAGAAATTCCCTATAGGATCAAGGAAAAACACAATCCCTTCCTATGTGAGAGGCAGAACCCATTGCAACCAACCATCCAAGGATGTCTCTGCATGAATCTGCCTGACAGACACGCTTTGCTTTTGGAGAAATGGCAGGTAGGCAGAGAGAATAAAGAACATTCCATAAGCTGTGATTTGGATACACCATAAGCTAAACCAGGACTGGTGGCTTTGGGGCTTGAGGGTTCTACTTTTCATGAGTACCCCAAGACTTGTCAAGTGCAGCCCACAAAAAGGTGAATTTTTCCAACCCAACTGAATTTCTTTAAATGCAGCTTCCCAGTGTGGCACTCTGCTTCCCCAGTCCCCTTACAGACTTGTAGAATACAGACCTTGGCCTCAATGGTTAGTCAACTTTTCTACCTGTTTTTGCTGGCCTGCCTATAATCTGGAGCCTGCAGGTTTTTACTGATATTCTCTGTTTTTATAATTTTAATAGGATTTTTTACATACTTATATCCTATCATTTGGTTTTTATCCTGCACCCTGCCTTGAGAGGGTTTTATCCTTAAAGCCTGCTCTGGCATAATGTTAAATACATTTTTAAATATAAAGCAAACATGAACATTAACAGAAGGCCGAGCTCCAAGGACTCTCTGCGGAACCCACGCAGCCCCCCATCCCCGCTTACATATGGACTAGAAACTTTCTACTTTAACTTGGAGTTCTGATCAGTAGGAATTCACATTGTATGTAGGATGTTGTGTTTCAAGGATATGGGAAGCAGAAGAGCCCCACCTCCATGCATGCAGCATCTTGTGGAGAAAGCAGAAGTCCAGGCTTAAGAGGGCGTTCTGTTTTAGAGCTCAGACGCAGGGGCCATAGCTTAGTGTGACAGCACATACTTCAGAAGAAGGAGGTCCTCGGTTCAATCCCCGAAGTCTCCAGGTGGGGCTTGAAAAACTGCAGCTAGAAACTTTGGAGAGCCATTGCTGCCAGTCAGTGTTGACAAAACTGGGGTAGGTGGACCAAAGATCCAACCCAGTGTAAGGAAGGCTCCATCAGATCTGGGTGCGGACTTAGGGCCAGTCCACACCAACAGGTCCTGGGGCAAGAGAAAAAGGCCCAAGAAGTAGCCTGGGAAAACGTCGCTGTGAGCTATTTGAGAGAGTAAAAATAAACAACCGTCTTGGGTTGTGAGCGTGCGCGCACGACGGACCCAAAGTTAAACCCACTCACAATGCAGTTAACCACTTCAGCCTGACAACTGAAGCACCGGTGGAGAAGGAGGGAGAGAGAAAGAGGCAGGCCATTTTCTCTTTCTTTAATCCGGTGCCTTTGACACACCATAATTACAGAAAGATTAAAATATGTGATTTATCTCACAGGCGGCTTTGCCATAAAGCAATAATTAACTATGAGGAAATCTGCACAATTGCTGGGGATCTGTTTTATTTTATTTCATTTCATTTCATTTTTTAATTTGGGAAGAATCTGAACGTACAATAAGTAACAGCTAAATCGGGGACCTCCGGCAGAGATGTTTGCCTTGAAATGGTCTCAGAACAAATTAAAGGGGTTTCCAGGGAAGGCAGGAGCAGGAAAAGGCTGAGAAGAGAAATGGGTACGACTTCAACCTGGTTTGCTCAGCTCAGAGCTCAGTCCCACTGTTTTCAGATGAGGATGGCCTTTGGATGGCTGTGCAAGGAGAGACATCCCCAGTGCCCGTCCGGGATGGGGTGGAAAATCTTGGCCTTGGAGCAAAGGGACCTGGGTTCAAAAGGGACCTGGGCCATGAGACTAACTGGGTTAGCCTTGCTTGGACCAGTCAAAAGCTCTCAGCCTCGCCTGCTCTTTGCATTAGGGTTGTGGGGGAGCCAAGTTGTGACTGGGGGGGATGGGGGGAGTGGGAATTTGCTTGCACCCTTTACTCGTCCTGCCACACATCCTCTCCGGGAAATAGCAGAAAGCGACATGGTCAAGCAGCTCCTTCCTTGATTGTTCTTCGGCTTTGGAGCTCATTCTCTGAGCTTCCTAATTAACAGGAAGGAAAAAACCCTGCAGGAGACAGGACTTCCATAGACCACCTGCCGCAAACATGCACACTAAGGCTTGGGGACTCAGTTGGACCCTCCAAAATTCCCCAGGGGGCTGCACCCCCTTTCTCTGCTTCTGCTCCGTTTCCCAACTAGGTCGTTTCCTAGTCTCTGAGCATTTTTTCTCCCCATGCTGAAAGTTTGCAACACCTCTGCAGAGGCTAGTGGGAAGAACTTGAATGCCAAAATATGCTTTTAGCCTTTCCACCTTTGCTTCAGCTCTATGCCACTTTTAAGTGAAGAAGGGGGGAGACTGGAAGAAACCTCCAGTATTTTGATGCCAATGGCAGGTGCAGTGCCTAGAATGTTGCTCCGGGATGGGGAGATCTGGGTTCAAGTCCCCAGTTGGCTGTGAAGCTCACTGGATTACTCTGGGCCAGTCACTCTCTGCCTAACCTACCTCACAGGGTTGTTATGAGGATAACATGGAGAGGATGATGGCTATGTGAGTTACTTTGGATTCCTTGATGGATTGATTGATATCCTGCCTTTTTCCTACAAAGGGCTCAAGGCAGCTTACATCTCCTCCTCCATCTTATCCCCACAACAACAACCCTGTGAGGTAGGTTGGGCTGAGAGTCTGTGCCTGGCCCAAAGTCACCCAGTTGGCTCCATGGCTGAGCGGGGACTAGAACCCAGATCGCCTGAGCCCCAGTCCCGTGCTCTTAACCTTGCAAGAGGGAGGAGAGTAGGTGAGGTGTAGTTGTTAAGAGAAAGGGACTGGGACTCAGGAGTTCTGGTTTCTAGTCCCTGGAGCCAACTGAGTGCCTTTGGGCCAGTCACAGCCTCTCAACCCATCCTACCTCACAGGGTTGTTGTTCTGAGGATAGGATTAAGAGGAGAATTATGCAAGCTGCTTTGAGTTTATTGTAAGAAAAGAGGTGGGACATAAATCTAATAAATGCATGATAAAGAGGTGAGATATGAATGCAATGTAAGAATAGTAACAATAGATAATACAGTGGATCTTTAGAATCTGCTAGGAAATGTGTCAAAACCCCCTCTTTCATGGCTTGTAGAAGGACATGGGCCTGTACAAGCAGCTGGGAAGGAGAGATCTGTAGCATGGCTTTAGTGCCGTCCAAATCGGTCCAGAAAAGGGGATGGAGGATGAGGGTTAGAACAATAGGAACACAGAGATGGCGACCTGAACAAGAAGACATTCACAACGTACCTGCCCGCTTGTAGAACTCCTGATATACTGAAGAGGCCGAAGTCGGTGATCACCACCTTCCCATTGTCATAGAAGACATTTTTTGACTTAAGATCTTTGTGTAGAATTCCCTTTGCGTGAAGATAGCCCATTCCCTGAAAAACAAATGAGGCAAGAGGAGAGAAGGTTAACAGGAACGGTGCTGCCTTGCATTTCCTAGGATGTGCATAGAAACCAAACTCAAGTTCACTGAAGCTCAAATTCCACTCAGCAGGTCATTTCCTCCCACGTCAGTATCAGATTGCCATATTGTCATGTGAAAATTAGTGCCTGGTTTTGTGCACATGCTCAACACACTCATCAGCCACGTACATCTTTGCAATGTATGCGTTTCTCTCCCAAGGATTCAAGTGTGCTTGCGCATGCGCTTTGGGAAAGTGTGCCTTTTTCAAATGCATGCAGGATCTAAACAACCTTTTGTTTTGGTTGGCATCCTGCAAGTGTGTGTTGTAGTCCATGTCTAGCCTGGAAAGTGAGAACCGGGTGAATCCGAATAAAGAAGGATCTGAAACACGTTTCTCTTCTATCTTTAGAGCTTCCAGCAAGACATCACTCCTGGTCCCACGTGTAATTCTCATGCATCAACAGAAATACCTGGACAGGCTAATCTGATGCATCTCTACCAAAACCCTCACTATATTCAATGGGGCATAGAATTAGGGCTTTGGCACTATACTCTAGCAGTGCCAGCTCCAAAACAAATAGCTGCAGTACATGAGAAAAACGACTAGTTTCCCAACACTATGTGCCTTATGACATCTGGGGAGGGATATGCAAAGAATCTGATGGGTGGGCATGTGTGTATGTGAAAATTTGCTGGACTTTTGTGATGCTACACCTGCCAGATTCTAGTTTGTTGCGCTTACAGTTCTGCTGACTTGCTATGGGGAGAGTTGCTGATGTCCATCTCTAAGACAGGCCTTTCTTTGAGTAATTTTTAATGTGCTAATAAATTTGCATAAATAAGTGCCTCCAAACCATATGGCTTTAGGGTGATCTGTGCAGAACTGGGCAATTCTACCATTTTGGACCCACTTTTAAGATGTTGCTTTTCAGACTTCTTTATGTTGGGTCACAGATTGAAGATACTCTGTTTTACTTCCTGGCCTGCATCTTAAGGACTAGAAGCTTCAAGCTGGACCAACAGGCTGGATCCATGGGCCAACTCCCTCTTGGACCTTCTGATCTCCATTCTACCTGCAGTCATCTGAGTCAGGTAAGGTGCTCTTTCAAAAACAGAGCTGTTCCTGAAACAGGCAAGCTTGAATTGCCTCAGGGCACCTTCTCATGGTAGATGGGGACTTAGCACCCCCTGCTGGTTCAATTAAAAAACAGTCTCCTCGCTAGTGTAGTGGTCTAGGGTGGAAGCTCATGATGTACGGGTGTGAAAGCCGGACAGTGGAGAAGGCTGACTGGAAGGAAAGCGATGTGTTCGAAACATGGTGCTGCAGGAGAGCTTTGGAAATACCCTGAACTGATGGAAAGGCAAGCAAGTGGCTCCTGGATAAGTCAAGCCAGAGCTTTCCCTTGAAACAAAACTGGCAAAACTGAGGCTGTCCTACTTTGGGCATGTCATGAGAAGGCAAAACTCCCTGGAGAAGACTAGGGAAAGTTGAAGGCAGAAGAAGAAAAGGAAGACCAAATAGGAGATGGACTGAGTCCACCAAGGAAGCCACAGCTTGATCTTGGAAGAGCTGTGAAGGACCGGAGATTTTGGAGGGCTTTCAATCGCAGGGTCACTGTAAGTTGGAGATGACTCGATGGCAGCTAATGACAAGAAAGGGCTATTATCTTTCTGCTAATCCCTGATACAAAAATGGCTAAGTCAAGCTAAATTACCCAAAGAGAACCGCTGAGCTACAGCTGAGTCAGCCGTCATTTAAGCCACTTCCACAGGTGTGAATGAGTGGGCGGGTGCTTGGATGAATAAGAGGCCCTACTTCTCCATTCGTCACCCAGAACATTAGACTGATGGGGACTGGGGCAGGGCTTCCTCAGTGGTGGTCCCACACCCCTGGGAGATAACATCTGGCTTCATCCTTGCTGCTGCTGAAAACAGCCCTGAAGGCACATTTATTCCATTCTGTGTTTGGCTGCTCAAAACTGTTTGCAGCTGCCACGGGTTACAGTCAGCATGTTCAATGTTTCTGTAATATTGTGAAGTGCTGTGGGTGGTTTGCCCTGAAGGACAGGTTAGAAATCCTTTAATAGATAAATAGGTGTGAACAGGGGCAGTTTATGGGTGAGTTTAAACGAGGAGGAAGGCGTGTAGCAAGTGAGAGGGGGCTCTGGATGGATTGAACGGGTGGATGGATTAATGCGAAGTGAAATGTATGCACTTGTGTGTACAGAGGAGTGAAACGGGGTAGATGCATGCGTGTAATGAGAAGGGGGCACAAGTGCCATTGTGGGGATAGCTGCAAGGAACTGGGACCACTCCCCTGTGAGGAATGGCTACCACAGTTGGGGTTGCTTAGCTTAGCGAAAGGCAAACCAGAATAGATGGAGGCATCCAGAATGACGTCATGGGACAGAGATCTCGGACAGGGAGACATTTTTCTCCTCCTGTTCTACTACTCGAACCCAGCTCATCCCATGAAGCTGTTCGGTGGGAGATTCTGGACGGATCCAAGGAAGGACCTCCTCTGCTGCAGAATTCACTTCTACAACATGCAGGAGATGCTGCAATTTGGCTGCACTGGCCACCCATCTGGGTGACTTTAAAAGGGGATTTCGTGGAGGGGAAGGCCTTGCAAGGCTACTAGTCCTGATGGCTCTGTGTGACCACCGGTAGGCGATACGCCTTGCACACCAGCTGCTGGGGAACGGTGGCGAGGAGGGGGCTGCTGTGTTCATCCACTGCTGGGCCACCGGTTGGCCATGGAGAGGGCAGGACCCTGGACTGGGTGAACCATTGACCTGGTCCAGCAGGACTCTTCCTATGTCTGCCTATGCTTTTGAGTGCAATCAGGGGTTGGAGGCACGGGTGCGATGGGAAGCAGGGTGGCCGAAGAGATGGCTCGCCGAAGAGATGGATCCATGAGTGCAACGGACGTGGATGCATGAGTGTAAACTTCCCAATTGGATGACTGCAACACGCTCTATGTAGGGCTACCCCTGGAGACAGACAGAGCGGAGCCGGCTGGTGCCGGAGGTCAGACTAGATGGCCCGGGAGACCCCTTCTGACTCACTCTGTTTCTATGTTTCAGATACTTCAATTGGTTCAAAATAGAGGTGCCAGGATATTAACCAGCAGGTACTCTCATATAATGCCAGTCCTATACCATTTACACTGGCTGCCAAGTGAAGTCGAGGCCCAATTTAAGGTGCTGGAAATGACGTAAAAAGCCCTAAATGGCTTAGGTCCTAAATACCTAAAGGAGTGCCTTCTTCCCTTTGTGCCCGCTGACCCCTTGAGCTCTGAGGCAGAAGTCCTTCACTGGGAGTCCTCTTTGAAGGAGATGGGGGGGGGGGGGGCGGTGTAGTTACCTGGAGAAGGGCCTTTTCATCAGTGGAACCCCAACTCTGGAATTAACTCCCCAGAGAGATTGCCTGGCACTGTCACATTTTTCTTTCCAGTGTCAAGCGAAACCCCTTTTCTTTTCCCATCATTTTAATGTTTAATTGGTTTTATTCTGGGTTTTATTATTGAGGTTCAATGCAGTGCATTGTTTTATATTTCAGGTTTTTTTTTTCTTTTTCTTGTAAGCTGTCCTGAGATTCTTGTAGCGGACAGTCTATACAAGCTTTTAATAAAGAATAAATGCAGTGTCCCCATTCACTTTTGCTTCCGTGTTCTCTTTTGGTCCCCTTTAGATTGCCCCTGGTCCCACCCAACACTCATCTACAGATCCTGAGCCCCCCACCTCCCACTCCAAGGACTGGTTCCACCTGGCTTATGATCTTTATTCGATAGAGAAGCCAAGGGTGCATGAAAAATGCATTGTGCAGAGGAGGGTAGGAGGCGGAGGAGACCGTCTATTCCGAGTCAGTACCCTGTGGTCCAGTATTGACCTAGTTGCCCAAAGTTTCAGGCAGAAAGAGGATCCCCCCTCTTGGCTGCTCCTCAAAATCCTTTAGCCACAGAGGTCAGGAGACAAGCCCAGTGTGAAGCAGGCAAGCTTCCTCTGCCAGAGCTTGACAAAGAAACATGGGCTACAGAAGCCTGGGGGAAAGGAAACACCACAGAAAACCAAGGCAAGGGACACACATGGCACCCCCCCACCCTGTGTGGTTATGCAGCATTCTTACTCGTATCTAACATGAATTAGTTGCCTTTCAGGCAAAGTGTGCAAGGTTAGGACAATGACAACGTACCCCATTTAGCACGGTCGTTCAGAAACCGATGGGGTATGGCACAGAGGTTTCTCTGGAAAGTTCGCCTGAAAGAGGGAGCTTTGGGGGAAGAGCTATTAAGCGCCACCGTGAGCGTTGGCGTAGAGAGGACCTCAGCTCTGCTCATTAGCCAGAGGATGGGAGGGGAAAAAATTAATGGAAGTCAATAAAACAAAAATGGGTTTGGGAATGAGCTTAATAAAATGAAAAGAGGCCTGGTGAGGTGATCCATCTGTCGAGGCGACACCAAGGTACTAGGAGGAGGGGGGCTCCCAAGGTTGGCATGGGGGGCAGGGGAGAGGGCTTGTGAAGCTCCCAGGGAGCTCTTTGCTGGTAGCCCCCTCCCCAAAGCCAGTTGCTGGCTCCACGTTTCTGAGGGCCCTGGGCAAGAGTCCTTCAGAGCGTCTCCTCTGCCGCCAGCATTCTCATCCACTCTCAGGGCTCCTCCACCTCTTTGCCATCGTGCTTGCTTGCCTGACTGGCAGGCAGCCACTGGGCAAATGGGCACCCACTGGTCCTCCCTGCCACCCCCATGGCTGCTGGCCACGGCCAGTGTAGGGCAGCAGGCACGCTGGATTGGGGAGAAGGAGCCGCAACTCCAGAAGGTCTCGGCAGGGAGCCGCTGACGGGTTGTGAGGCCTTGGCCTTGGCCAGCCATGCCTACTGTTGATGCTGGCCCTGCCCAAGGCCGCCAGGAGCACGGCCTTGGCAGCAGGGAGCCACTCATCCACTGGCTCAGAGAGAGCAGTCTGCAGCCCAGAGCACAAGGGATGGAGGAGAGACCGACTGCAATGGAAGAGGTGCCGCAAAGTCCTCTTTCTAAGGCCCTGGGACATCTGGTCCTTCCAGTCGCCAAGGTGATCTGTGTGTCTGCTTGTGGCTTGGCATTTTGATGACAAAGCATCCTCCATCGTACAAAGAACACAGAGACGTTGCATCCTCCTGTCCCCCATGACAAACGCCAAGCCAAAGGGGATGCCAGGCTGGTCCCATACATCAGCCAGGGAAGAGACAGGTGCAGGGAGCTTATTTCATCCTTCCCTGCCAGGAAAAACAAGTATAAGAGCTTCAAAATGAAGCACTTGTGTCCGAGTTTTTGATCTTTTCCTCCGCCCTCCCAACCCCTTCCCCTTTTGTGTCATGGCTTTTAGATTAGAAGCCAGGGATTGACTCATTGTAATCTTTGTCAGCTACTCTGGGGGTCAATTTTAGCTGAAGATTGGGGTAAAAGTAGGATAAATAAAGGAATAAGATGGCTAAAAAAATGAAAAGTCTATGCCTGCTCATAATTTCTGAGCAGAAGCCACAAGTTGGGATGCGTCGTACCCCCAGTGGTCTTCTCTAATGTCGCTCTCTCCCCAACTGCAGTACAATCAGGCTTCATCTTCTCCGTTGTCCCGCTCTGTGATCTGTATCCTGCCTCCTAATTCCCATCATTGCCGCCCAGAGCCTTCAAAAGCCACCAGAGCCTTCTAAAGAACTTCTGAATTATCACTGCATATTCATTCTCACTTAGCAGCAGCCGCTTCGGGGGATTGTCATCTGAGATGGGTATCAAAACATTTGTAAAGAAAGGTAACAGAAAAGTGGTAACAGTCACCCACTCACGAGCACATGGGAAACGCACGCAAACCACACCCTCCCCTCTTTCCTCGTACCTTGACAATCTCTTGAGCAATTTGCCGCGTCTTGTTGACATCCAGTACAATTTTGGCATCTCTCACCACCGAGTAGAGTGTCCGTCCTTTGCACAAGCTGGAAGAAGAGGAGAATCTTAATTGACTGCAGGGGGAGAGGGGCAGAGGAGGTGATGAGGAAGCCTAAGAAAACCGCCTGAGATCTGGATGGAGACACGACAGCAGAAACAAGCCTGAAGGGAGACACTGGCTTTCTCGCCAAGGCAAGAAGGACGGTTTCGCGCCGTTGCATGGAGGTGTGCACAAGCAGGGCTGGCGGTGTTTTTGAGGGGCCTTGGGCAAGACACCCTCACTGGGGCTCCCTCCTTGGCGAGCTGATCTTTCCACTAGCATTGCCATCAGCTGCTCTTTTCCTCATCCTCTTTCTCATCCTGCGCCTCTTCCTTGCTTGCTAGGTACAGAGCCAGCAAGGAAGCAAGGGCACCTCCTGCTCCTCCTCCTCACCACCCCAGTGTCTGGGAAACAGACAGAGGCTGATCAACAAGCAGATTGCAGTGGTGAAGTGGAGGAACAAGCCCAGGGCACTCTTGCCAGTGGGCCCCTGCAGGGGTGTGGGCCCCTGGCAAGGGTCCAACCATGCCTGCCTTGAGAGCACCATTGGCAGGACGCGAGGGCTGTCACCCCTTTGTGGGAGACCAACCCTTGTGCCCACATTCCCAGTGACTGATGCGACACAGACATTCTGCCTCTGATATGGGAGGTCACCCAAGGCCATCAGGGCCAGTAACTGCTGATGTTATCAGTGTCCTCCATGAATTGGTCCAGTCACCTCTAGGAGCTGTCCAACGTGGCAGCCACCACACATCATGTGGAACTGAGTTCCATGCACTGCGTGAAGCAGCCCTTCCCTGGATCTGCCCCACTCCAGCTTCCTGGGACGATCCTGCTGGGTTCTGCTGTTATGACAGGGGAGAAAAACGCTTCCTCCTCCACTTTCTCCTCAGCATTCATAGTCCCATGCACCTGTTATGCCCCTCCTCACTCTCCTAAGCAAAGCAACTCCAGATGTTGGGACCCTTCTCCATGGGGCAGCTGCTCCAGACCTCCCCCATGGTGGACCAAACAGGACTTTGGTGCAATCGAGCAAAATTCGTCGCGGAAACGTCAGTCCAGACTTGGGTAAGATTTGCCCATCTTTTCTTCCATACCTGTTGCTGATAAATCTATTTGAGGAGTCTTAATTACCAAATGCAGCTGCTGGGTGGGGGGGGGGGGCGAGGAGGAGGACTCTGAAGCCAATTAAAATTTGTATTGGCATTTGAATCATGTAATGGAGTTTGTGGGTGGATTCTGCCTTGACTTTTTCCCATAACAGAGAGACCTCCACACGCACTCCGAGCACACAGGAACACACCCATTCTTCTGCCCACCCACGCTCATTACCAGCAAATTGAGAAAGCGCAAATGAAATACCTGAGCTGAGATAATGAACCACCTAAAATAAAACCAGCTCCGAGGATCACAGGTGTTAATTTGATCTGGTTCTGCAGCTAACTACAGATGCGCTGCAGCTTTGGATTGTCCTTCTCTCCCGCCCACCACCGCCGCCGCCGCCGCCTCCTCTCTACAGCTTCTTCCTCCTTCTCTCAAGGACCCTGGAGGCAAGGCTGAGCCCCTTGGAGAAGTTGCCCTTGATGCTCTGTAGGCAGTGGATGTGTGGAAATGGGTCTTGAGGACAGAAGAGCCGAATCACTGCAAATGGAGATTTGGGCCTGGATTCATCCCTGCTTCAAAGCTCTTCCGCCAGATTCCAGACACAGGCCTGAGTAAGCAGCAGGACCTAAGTGGTGGCCAAATGGTCTTCAACAGATGGTCCATGGGACTAGCATCCTCACAGAGTCCTCCTGGGAGGCTCCCTGCCTCACCTGATTTGCGTTTAATTGCCTACAGTATTTAAAAACACTTTTCTTTAACTGGGAGACTGCCATGATGCCAAGCCAAGCATTGCTGTCCACTGCCATCTCTGTTCGGATCCAAAAGAGTTGTCTGGTGCTTCATTGCTCAGGTGCCCATCTCCGCCTTGTTCTTACCTTTCGGGCAGGGCACATCTCGTTCATCACTCACGTGTTTACAGTAGATTCACTTGATGGAGAGAGGAACTGAGTCGGTATTTACGAGTTATATTTCTCTTCTGCCATTTTTCCTGCAAAGACCCCAACACAGCATACATGGTCCTTCTTTGCTTTTATCCTCACAACAACTCTATAAGGTAGGTTAGGCAAAGAGCCTGGGACTGCCCAAAGTCAACCAGTGAGCTTTATTACTGCATGGAGACCAGCGCGTGGATCTAGTGAGCCTCAGTCCAACGCTCTCCCCACTAGGCAACGCTGGCTCTCCCACACTTATTTATTTTTCACATTTGGAGGCCATTGAATAGCCCCACAGCACTCTCTCAGTGTTTAACAACAATAAAAACTTGCCAACAGTACAATTATAAATACAGGGGGAAGGAGCAGGGGACATGATACTCCCTCAAAATTCCATATATAGCCACCAATCCTAAAAAGTTGGGGACCCAACTTGCAACAATCACTCACTGAGAAACTGGAATGCAGTCATTTCTAGCAACATCCCTAAATAATTATTACTGTTATGATTACATGATTATCAGCCCAGTGCGGATGCTCCAAGGTCGGAGCTCTTTTTTGACCTCAGAATCCAAAAAATCCCACGTCCTCTAGATGCTTCCTAGGGTCATAGAACTGCACTGTGAGATGTGCTTCATAAATATAGTTACTTCAGGAACTAGTCCTCAATCTAGGCAACACATCAAAAGAAAAGGCAGGGAAAGGACCATTGGTGACAGCCATCCGTTTTCCTTGTTAAGTGGGGCTGCCATATTTCCAAATTGGGGTTCAAAGAAAAGCATGGGAAATGGTTTCCTCAGAATCAACGGACTTGCCTGCCAACTGCTAACCCCTTCAAGAATTCCCCCTATGTACTTTAGTGCGTATGAACCAAAAATAGAACATTTTATAAAGAACATCCAAAAGTCTTGTGACAGCCCAACTTGTGATGAATTTATTATGGCATTAGCTGCCCTCCTACAACCAGGCATCCTCTAGATGGGTTAGACTACAACTCCTAGTATCCCCACATTCTTTCATGAACTACATGGAACTACTGGTCCCATCAACTCTAGTTAGCACAACCAGTAATGAAAGATTATAAGCCCTGAGGGCCAAACATCTGGAGAACTTCAAGATGTCCATCCCATGTCCATGTCACAAAACTCTCTGTCTATATTGCAACAGGTTGACACAACTAATCCTCTGGAAATTGGATCAGAACAGTTTTTTTTTTTTAAACGTTCTAATCATTCATAGAAACTTCCTTTTTATCTATGGCTGAGAGGCAGTGACTGGCCCAAAGTCACCCAGTGAACTTCATGACCAGGAGGGGAGTAGATCCTGGATATTCTGAGTCCCAGTCCAGCTTTCTAACCATGAAGCTACATTGGACCATGTTGCATACAGAATATTTTACACTGAAGAAATACTTGCAAAAATAAGTACAGTTGGTGAAACTATGCACACGACCTAGAGAGTTTTGACAATTGGCAAGCCGAGAAACAAGATTCTACAAATTTCTCATTTCTTTTTAAAAAATCTACAGATTCACAAACTGATTTAGAAGAAACAGAACAATGAAGCAGAGATTTGCCCATCCCTGTTCCACAGGATAGGAATAAGGCTTAAAGCAAGGATAATGGTGTTCCATCAACAGTTTAAGCTTCCATTTTTCAAACGTACGCTTGCAGTCAAACACATCATTTTGGTCCATGGAGTAGGCCAAAAACTCAGAAACCTGCAGCCTTCAAACTCAGATCACACCCCCTCTGTGTTTGGCCTGGAAAGTTGAACTGGATACACCTTAATCTATAATGAACTAGAACTAATTTATTACACTTATCTAGTTAGATATAGTAACCATCACTGACAATCCTATGAAGGATAGTCCAAGAAAAGGGACCCCCAGAGCAGATCTCCAAAAAACATGAAGCTGTGTGGAATATCTGTAAGGCAACTCGTGGAATTAAGGAATACGTCAAACCCAGCAAACACTGTGGCTTGTTTGAAAGTGTACCTCGTTTCCTGTCTGGCTGGGAAGACAAGACACGGGGCCTTTTGGGCTATCAGCCACAGGCATCATTTGGCCATAAAGAAACAGGGGAAAATGTGATGCGAAAGAGAGCCCTGGAGCAGGCTAGTGAGGTTTGCCTTGGTAACAGCTCTGCCGTTTTTGGCTTCTCCGACATGTCATAGCAACTCCTAGCAGGAGACCGAAGTCCACGCCGCAAAGCAATCCTCACTGCCCACCCATCGCCAGCGATGTGTCCCTCCCTCGTCTCAGCTCATCTCTCTCCAGCAATGGGGCAGCCGGACGATGCCAGCAGGCTGCCGGTAGATGGACCGACCCAGCCCCGTTCCCAAGCCTGTGCAAATCAAGGAGCCAATGAGGCGTGGGAAGGGCACTCAAATCAGCTCCGAAGGAAGCGGCGGCAGAAATTAATGAGACAAGGAATGGAAATAGTCCATCGCGCTCGGCCCTTCCTCAAGGAGAATAGCTCTGAGCAGATGGTCTCGAGCAAAACAACACCGATGCAGACCGAGGGGAGACGGTTATGTAAAGAAAATAAAAGGGGATGTTTTTGGCAGAGGTGCACAAGAGGAGGGGGCAGCAGGGTCAGGAGGAGCAGTTAGGCAGCCCCAGGAAAACTCCCCTGCAATTTGTACTGGGGAACCCACTGATACTTCGGGATGAAAAGACGGAATGGGGGTAGGCAGTGGAGCATTTGAAGCGATTGGAGATTGGTTGTTCTTTAGGTTAATGTGTGTGTGTGGGTTGTGTTAAACTCGTATACAGTATTGAATGCCAGGAAGATAAGATAGATTTGAGGGGTGTATTCCTTTAAATATTGCATTTATATAGGTTGCGTTTGTTTAAAATTCCCTTGGCAGCTTCACTCATCTTAGTTTGCTTTGTTGATTTTAGTTTGCTTTGTTCCACATTCTTTTTAATGCAATGTCCGTGTTAAAAAAATAAAAATTTAAAAAA